AGGCGTTGCTCTGTTTCAGGGAAAAAAACACACGGCTTTAATGCAAGCAACAAATGGCCGAAGTGCAAAGCCAAACACAACTGCTACCGATTTCAGCACTTGTCTGTCACAGATTCCTTTTGCAGAACAGCAACGGGCCACTCGCTCAGACGGGTAAGTACTAGCTGCCAGCAGAATTATCATTGATTTCACAGGATTGATTTTTTAGCACCACAATAACATACTAAATCTTTTCAATGAACAAACTCACATAGCTGGCGAAAGTAAATTATTCAAAGAGTCCACTGCTTTTAAGACCAGAGAGCCTTTCAGAAATGTGAGGTTTCTGCTGCCGGCTGCAGAGGCTTTTTTTTTTTTTTTTAATGTTTAGTGCTTTCTTAGCGCTTATTTTATGTATCTCAAACCTCCATATTGTCCACCCAACATTCTTCATTAAGAAGATCTTGCATAAGACTGCCTGTAAACTGAACCAAAGAAGAAGATTAGAGGTACTTAGCTACACACTGAAATAGCACTGTGTGCCAAACAAGCTGACAGAGTGAATTCAGACATGGATTATTTTGTTTTTATTCTTATCTGACCTCATTACAAGCCACCATTTAGTTTACCCTGGAGAGAAACGTTTTTTGCTCTGGTTTTTCATCCTGCTACTCCTCTCAGATCCGCCTCCTTGTCCCGGCACTGCCGGTGCTCCACTGGCCACGTGGACGGAGCTGGCGTGTGGCGGCGCCTGTGCCGCTCTCGGTGGCTGCCTACGCTGCTCTTGGCCAGGACGGTGCTTGGTAAGGGTGGCCACCGGTAATTTGTTCTACACCTTCCAGGTCCTGGGACCAGCTCCATTCCCCAGCTTCAATCAGCGTTTGCACTGGCCAAGTCCATGTAATTCTGTTGGCAGGATGCGAGGCCAAAGGAAAGCGGAGCGTGTGACGTCCCTGCCCAACGAGGAGCCCTGTTCCCCCAGCCCTGCACACGGGCAAATGCCTAAGTGCCCCCCAGCGACTTCAGAGTGCAGAGAGCAGCTCCTCCCAAACCCGCTTCAGTCTTCCTTGGACGCATGAACTCCTTCAACACTACCATCTCTCCTCTTCAACATTCCTACAATTTTGATTTTTTTGCCCTTTGGATTAAAATTCCCCATTCCTTTGATGACCAAATTAGTTCAGAGACTTTCAAGTGTGTTTTGGTAGTAAGAAAAACTGTTCTCCAGTGTTACATACTTAAGTGTTTATACAGACCTATTTCATATGATAACCTTATCGTCTCCTTAGAGAAAGTTCTGTGTCGAAGAGTTAATCAAAATGTAATTTTCTCCAAGTATCATAGTTGAATGCTCCCGAACCCAATTTGTGTGCTTTCTTCTAATGCAACAGACAGAAACATACTGAGGGGGAAGGAGGGCAGAAAGGGACATGAACAGTATTTCTGATTAAATAATATCCTACCATGGGAGTCAGTATGACTGTAATTTGGTTTTATTTCCTCTGGAGAACAATCGCCCTACCCCAACCACTCAGTACAGTGGCAGCCAGGTGGGCCCATCTGCTGCCCTCATGCACACAGGACAGGAGGTTAAAGAAGCTGCTGCACCTCCTCACGTGTCTGCTGAGACATACCTGGTTTTCACACCCAAACCCTGCCAAACTGGAGAGAGTTGGGAGGAGCACAAGAACACTCTAGCGGACTGTAAAACATGCCCCACTGCAAGGCCTATTAGGGGTCTGAGCTTTCAGGTTACAAAGCAAGCTGCAACATGATTAGTGCCTGGACTAAAAAAAACACTTAAATAGAAGATAAAAACTTTTCAGCATCTAACTTTCCACTAATAGAGCAAGTAATATTAAAAGCAATGGCCAGAAATGGAATTGAAAGACTTCTTGCCAGAAATCAGGTACCATACCAGCAGCTGAGGCAGGATTTCCACTTGAAGGAAATGAAAAAAAAAGCAAGATGGGGTTTTTAATTCCTGAAAGATGCAGTATAGATGGAGTCAGAATTTAAAGCAGATCACTTACCTCTTCAATGCAGGACTTGATCCGAGCACGTGTTTATGGGGCACCCTTGTGTTGTCAGCCTTCGGGCTGTGCCAGATGACAAGAAGGCACTGATGACCTCGGCAGCTGCCCCTTCCAGATTTCTGACACGACTACAGCTTAAGCTAAGCCTGGATAAGCAAGCTACAGGTTAGCCTGGCATAAAATAAATACTTCACATGCTTTTCCATTTCTTCCTGGTTCTAGCGGTAGGAAGATAAAGTTAGAACAGAATGGATCATGACTGAAAAAGACACTTTTTTACTAGCTTGGGAGGTGTTGGAGGCTCCTAATTTAAAGTAAAACCACTGACTTCTGAAATCTGTGGAAAATTTTCACTGAATAGTAACAACGATACAGCACTCTGCAGCCTGTACTGCAGCACAGGCTTTTTGAAAGCAAACAGGGCTTTAGCAGAAGTATTTTAAACCACTGACTTTATTAAAATACTTAATACACAGTTTGTAGAGGAATGTACTTACATTTTCTGGAAACTCAACTGAAACCAAATTTAACTATATATTTAACAAATGACAAAACGCTGGATGGATTCATGCTGTACACCGAAGAGCAGAGAAGTAAGGTTTATTACTATTTTGCTCGCACAGACTCTTCATTGCTTTCTTTGCTTCTTAGCTTTAATCTCGGAGTATCAGAGCAGTAGCAGAAGAAGGAATTTAAATTTCTCACAGCATCAGAGCCCCATTTGTTTCCACGAGATCCTTCATGCTCCCCTTCCCCAGAGGCTTCCTCTTCCAGAAAGCACAGGTGACAGACCTTGCTCAACCGTCACCAGGTTGTAGTGCAAGAGGAGTGCTAGAGTCAAATGTGAACGTGGAGCTCTAAAACTAGTTCACAGTGTCATTACTCTTTCAAAACACTCATTTCAAACCGAGCATGGGAAAAAGACACTATCAAAACACAGTAAGGGCCGTAGTGAGTTCCTGAACCTGGTGGATACATGTGAAACATGGCCGGTAGCGCTCCTGCTACGAAGTAAAGGCAAAGCAGAAACTAAGTCTTATTGAGATACGAGATGCAAGGGCCCAGGAGACAAAAGGAGAAAATCTAGACACATCCTTACAATCATGAAATGTCCTAACTCATTTAAAATGTTGTACTCATCATAGACATTGCAATTATCATAGACCATGAAGATCCCTAACAAAAAATGTTATGACAAGGTCAATGACAAGTATGATCTAGGGAAAAATATATTTATACTAACCGAAGAAATAACTGTGTGTTTCAATGCAAGATGCACAGAGGCTGCATAGGTTTTCACATCGAATTTGTAAGGCTCTTTTTTAGGAGATAAGTTTGCAACCTTGCATAGGTAATCTTATCTTTTATATAGATAATATGCAGAAAGTATGTACAGTTTGCTGAACGCATTTTTTTCCCCATCATTTTTTTTTTGCCACAGTATAAAAAGTAACTTAACTTCTTCAGTTCTCTAAAACACACAAGGAATATCCCCAAAAAAACCACTAGGGCACCACCTCAATGAGACCACACGTCTGTATACAATGGGTTGAAACAGCTGGAGAAACCACTACAAAGTATAGCCTAGTTCCTAGAGAAAATAAAATACTGCTGATTTGTTTACAAACATTAAAACTCATTTAAATAGAAATACATTTTAGTTATTATCCCAAATCTTTGATGTTCACTCATCAGATTCCTAAATGGGTGGCTGACTCTTGCTTACACATCAGGTAAACTGTATAAACAGCCAACCAGATCCCTGCTTGTCAAATGCACAGTAAAATCAACATTAATTTGGTTTCTAATCCCAGCTCAGAGCAGCTCCTCCCTTAGTCAACCGGAGACTGTTGTCTCAAAGTTAGTGTTAGGAACAAGTGCCAGCGCTGCCGCCATTAGGCTATCTGCTTCTTCGTCAGGTACGAGAGAGGGTCAGCGTGTGCATTAGGATGCGGACAGCCTGCAAATGAGCATCCCGCTTGCCGCGATGGTACCTCACCTCCAGAAATGATTTATCTTTATTTATCTTTGTTTTGCAAATATTTAAAACTTTCCTTGTGATGTGGCTCTTTTCCACTGAAATTACCTCCTCCTCCACACAAGCCGTTTTATGTGGGGGTCTAATACATCCCTATGTACTGTTCTGCAAACCACAGAGAAGTGCATTTTGTAACTGCACTTACAGCGGTATCGCTGTGGAGATGTAAGACTTCTACTAGAAACTGTCTCAGAAGAGACACTTCTATACTAAGGACTTGGTGGGTGCTCCTTACCTCCAGAAAAAATGAAAAGGCAAAGCTAAAACTGGCCCACCATACATGTGGTGCACTAAGTAACAGGGGGAAGAAAAAAACAGACACACACCCAGCACATTTCCTTTCAAAAGGATGGGTGATTTTTACAAGAAGAATTCGCTTTTTTTTTAATATTTCAACAACAAAAACTCAACTAATTTTAAAATTAGTGCAGTCTAGGAAGGCTTTTGTTTTTAAGCAACACGGTGCACAAACAACACTGCTGTTTGCTGTTAAACACAAGTCTCAGAAATGCAGAGAAACTATGATAAATTAAACTATGCATGACAAATCCCAACCAGCTGAATAACAACAATTAAAAAAACACCTTTTTTTGCTTTAAACACAGCTTCTAAAAAGTACAGCATCCCAATGTTTTCTCAGTTCCAGATCGCTGACATTATAAATTAAAGGTGAAAAGATTTTCATATAGAAGCAAGTCAGTTTTCCACTGATTCCATTGTACTGTTCTTGTCTAAACCTCTGGAATTTTCATCTCCGGATACTACAACGCAGGGTTGAATTTTTCAGTTACAAAAGAATGTCCATTCATGATGTGGAATTGGAAAAAAAACAAACCAAAACAAAAAAGAACCACACCTAAGTATTTACAGCAATTCAGCTATAAGTTTCCCCCAGAGCTCGCGCTGGCTTGTGCAGAGCTGCAGAGGCGCCGGCCGCGGGCCGAGCCTTACGTGACGCTGCGCGGCCTCTTGGGTGGCGGCGGCGGCATGAGTTCCGTGTCGGGGTCGAAGTGGTGCTTCCGCGTGGGCCCCTGGGGAGCTGCCGTACACCTCTCTATGAACTCGAAGAGCATCTCCTTTGTCACCGGGTGCTGGATGCTGTTGCACACAGCTGTGAACAAAGACACCATCAGAAAAGCAATCTGCTACTTGAGTAATGTGATACCCTCTTTGCAAAATAACACTTACTTGGCATAAATACTGAGCCATAAATGGGTATTTTTGCAAGACTCTTGTGTCAAAAAGAGTCTCTGCTTTGCCCCTGGGGGCTGGGGAGGAGAGGGAAGAAGGCGCTCTCACTACAGCACCTACCTCACTCTGAATCACTCTTGGATTCTGTAACACTACTGCAACTACAAAGAAGCATATACGTGACATGAGTACATGTAAGTGTATATAGGCTTCATGCAGGAACTATGGAAAAGGCCAAGAATTGACACTCTATCGAGCCAAGTGACAGACCTTGTGAAACTGATTTCAAAATGCTAACCAAATCATAATAAAGAAAACTTGCTAAAATTGAAAATCTTAGAATGAAAAATACAAATACTGTTAAACCATAGCGGGCAGTACTTATTTTATTAAGCACATATCTTCATGTAGCAGAAAATATATATGTATACATTTACAAAATGTCTATGCTTGTAAAAAGGTTCAATTCTCTTTAAATGAACAGGTACAACTTTAGTTTCCTCTAGCTAATCGTGAGACTTAAGGAGAAGAAAGAAAACCCTCAAAGAGCAAGAAATTAAGTAGGATTCCTATGATTATCTTCAAAAAAAAGGTGCAACATCATTTGAAAATAATTCATTCCCAAAATGTATGCGGTTTCATGCAAAACAATCTATTGACTCCTGTATTTTTGAACAAAGTTGAAACTCCCTATGTTTGAAACACAGCACTATTGTAAGTAACAATCAGCTTAGAATTTCCAAACTTTTAAAAACATTCCTTTGCTGCAGAACCATTCACAGCCTTGATTTATAACTAATGAAACATATTCCCAGCATTATTTTTTGATTATTATGTTTATTTTTGGTGAAAATGTGCTTTAAAAGTTCTGCCACATGTGACTTCAACAGTTAAATGTCATTTTGACAGTAATTAGCTTGGGGAAAAACGTTTTTCAATTTGAAAAGGCTCATAATTCAAAAGTCGAGACACTTTTTTTTCAACTACCAAAAAAAAAAAAAAAAAAAGTATTTTTCATCATGGGATAGAAAACCAGGAAGAGAGAAGATATGAAGAAAGGACCACTTGAAGACCCAAATGAGAAAATGAAACTTCTGGAGATTTCAGAAACAGTCAAAAATGAAAAATGTGAAAA